CTAAGTAATATTATATATTAAATATATTATATATATAAGAGCCCATGGGATGCCTATGGAGCAGCGAATAAATTTGTTTGTCAAAGATTGTTTCAACTCATTACCAGTAGCATCAACAACTTCCATGCCATACTTGTTCCGGTGCCTGGTCACAGGGGAGTCTCTGGAAACTGCAAAGCCGATGAACTCATAAGAACGGGTACACTTACTCAAATCACATAGGGCTAGGAAAAAGTCACTGTTTCCTTGTGTTCTTGCGTTGTAGCACTGGATCCATTAACCTCGCGCGAGTTTAGCAAGCTTTGGTCAGGTACCAGGTACATGTGCGCTTGGGAAATCCATCCAACCAAGAGCATAACTTAAGATGTCCATTGAATTATTTGTCCTTAGCAAGGCTCCTCTCGCCGCAATTATAGGAGTTGTAACTGGACACAGTCTTATTAGTACTCAGGAGGAGACTAGAGATATTGGGGGACGTAAATTGCCAAAGTTGCATGAAGTAAGGTGAAATGGAAACATCTAGATACTTTCTCTTCCACTCTCTAGCTTTCGCTAGCCTAAGGTTAAAGCAGCTCTGTAGTCATATTTTCTACGAACCAGGCGAGTTAGTTAGAAGTGATATCAGCCGACTCAGTAAATTTGTTTCGGACTCAAGGCGATTAGTCGATATGCGATGATCTTTTTGATCCAAACTCAGGAGTTCTGGGAATTACAGCGGATTCGTTTCTATGGCAGAAACACTATGTTATTGCTTGTAATTAAACTCAGTGTTTGGTAATGATACTATAAAATAATGTTCGGGTTTCGACACAGCAGCTATTGGCATTTACTCAGTATCCGCCTAGCAGTTGCTTAATCCCTTGGATTTATTGTACTTTTTGCCCTTTTCCGAGACACATGTTGCCCACAAAAGCATGTCCCGTCCGACCGAGTGAAGGCGTTAAGTAAATTGTATTTCAAAGCTTGAACAATGGTCTGTTGCACGTGAGTGACGCACGCTTGTCTACGCACACACAGGCAGAATGCGTCGGCAATAACTTGCAACACTGAATGACAATAAGTGCAAATTTCGGCATGTAAAACTGCCAGCCACAGTGACCGGCGGGAGATGTAAAAGAAGAATGAGAGCAAACATTTGTTGCAACATTTACAACAAATGGGCACACCCACTTCTGCGCGCCAAACTCTGCGTGGGTTAAACGGTACATTCGGCGTGGCGCAATGTAGTTGATCCTACGCGCAACATCTTGGCGCAGCAAGGAAGCAAAGAAATGTTGTGTGCTTATGCTTAGGCAGCTGGTGTTGCCACAGACGCGGTGGGAACGGTGAATGGTGGCATCTCTACTTTGAGCGCGCTCACACGACTGCTTGGCACATTGTCAATCCGCGTCAGCTTAGTGGCATTTCGAGAAGCGTTTAAGCGCAAGACAGTTTTCACAGCAATAAATCAAAGTGGAAAAATGTGCGCACACAAATTCATGTTGCACCACTTTAAATGCGCCATTGTGGGTGCCAAACAAATGTAGCATGTTGTTGTTGCACATTTTTTGTTTGCTTTGCCAGTTGTCGGCGTTAACAAATTATGACTATGCGCTTGAAATATCAAGCAATTGATTATTTGAGGGCGGCGTTGCATGTTGCTGGTGACTTTTGTCGCAGACAATTGGCGTGGCAGAAGGTGAGCGGCAGCAGCATGAGGGACACCAGGTAATTATGACGGCGGAGATTTAAGTAAATGCTAGAAAATCATTGCCGTCAGCTGGCAAGCTCGCTGTCTGGCTGTCCGCCCGCACGCAATCAGCTAATCGCACTGGGCGGGCGCTTGTTGAGGACGATTGCGTGCCACACGAGCTTTGACCACCAGCTGGCCGCGTGGTTGTGCCCTTCCAAGTGGCGTAGAGATTTGCATGAAAAGCGCATGCGCAGCTGCCAGTCAGTGTGTTGGCGGCGGCGGCATATGCTTGCTGGCGCGTTTTTGGGTGGCATGCAACATGCCACACTTAACAGTAAATGTCCGCGCTATTTGTGTGGACAACGGTATGTTGCATGCCACAACGCCACAGCTGCCAACTGACAAGCGCGAAGCGGACACACTTTTGCGGCGGCGCTGCGGGCTCCGCCGGCAAATAAAAGCACAGTGATTTTTTGGTAATTAAAAAAGTAAAAAAGAACACACTTTGGTACAAATAAGTGACAGCAATTGCACTAGTACATTTGTAACACCACAATAACACCTTTTTTAAGTTTCCAATGGCCAGCGGCGACACTTTTTGTGGTGTTGTCGCGGTTGTTGCAACATGCCCACCTTTGCATTGTCTCTCTCCTTATTTCGAAATTTTATTTTTTGGCAAATTCTCGCTTTTTTCTGCACAATTTTTCTGTTACTAATACCGAAATCACGATTCGCCAGCATCGTCGGGCATCGTTAGCCGACTAACTGTTAGTAATACTGGTAAAAATGCAGTAACAACAATGGTAATGGCGAAAAAATACGAAAAGTAATGGCAGCGATAAATGTAATTGCCGTGATGTGCAACATTTTCTTGCCACAGGCGCTACCTGTCGATCGTTGTTAGCTGATATGACGCGAGCGCACATTTCTCTTTTTGTGCACACTTCGTTGTTGTTGCGACTTTTCACTCGCGTTATCCAAAAATCTTGGTTTTGTTGCACTTTTTGGCAGTTACATGCCTGCACACATATTTATATATTTATGTATACCACTTGACCACTGTTGCATGCCACCGTCTCGCTGTCTCATTATCCAAGTTGTTTTCTCGTTGTTTTTGCCTGTAAAATCAACAAACTTGTTGCAACAATGCATTTGCATGTTGCAAATCTCTGCGCCTTGGTGTAGGCCAGCAAGGGGGGAGTGGCAAATATTTTTTCACTGTAATTTGTTATTTTATTGCTGCTAAGTTCGTTTACAACTATCATTCATTTTCTACACCACAAATTTTTCACTTGAGAAAGGTAAAAATTTGGCGAAATTAAATTAAGTGGCGTGTTGTTGCTTTTCTGCGAATTGAGAACCCCGGGTGTTGTAGATTGTATGAGGCAATATATTTCGATAATTATACGTCACGTAGCGAATATTTGTGGATCTACATATTTAAATATATACTTATGAGTTGTACTTTGTTGTTGTCCTAAATATATAGATATATATATATATATATATATACAGTACAACTCATAAGTATATATTTAAATATGTAGATCCACAAATATTCGCTACGTGACGTATAATTATCGAAATATATATATATATACGAATACTTAGTGCTGCATTATTTACTCAGAAATGGGCCTTATAGACCAGGGTACATATTTCGGCACCGAAACTTGGATATCCTTCACAAGTAAGGAAGTTTTCATGTAAACAGTAAATTTTGATCGAGCAGCTTGTATGGTAGCTATTTGATATAGTGGTCTGACCTGAAAAATATGGGAGAAAAGGAGATTATAGGATGACTTTGACAAAACTCTTCCTCGTAGATTACACCATTGTTTTAAGCAATAATCCATGCCAAATTTCTTGGTGATATCTCTTCAAATGAAAAAACGGTTCATACAAGCACTTTATTCGGATCGTTCAGTTTGTATAGGAGCTATATTATATAGGGTTACGATATCGGCGGTTCCGCCAGATGTGCAGATAATTTATCAATTATCAATTTATTTATCTACAATATGTTATGATTCTAAATATTGTAGACCCTTAAACTAAATTAGCGGAAATATTTCAACCTCTTTTATCAAAAAGCTGCATAAGGCAAGGTCAAACATCCTGCCTGAACTAGGTGTAATGGAAGTAAGCTACTAAACTCTTTTCTGTTCATTTATAATATGAGTTCTCACCAAGTTTCTTATAGCTATAATATTAAATCATAGAGTTTCTTCAGGTTGTCACTATAAATCATAATTTTAGCTCTGTATCTGAAGACCTATCTTCATTTCTCCGCCATCTTGGAAAATTTAGGGAAAGAGTATTCTTGTGTTTTTCGCTTCTGGTATATTCAATAGCATCCACATACGGCTGTCAGTGATGTTATTCAGACTTCAAAACACTATTCATATTCCAAACTTGAAATAGGATATAACAGTAGATTGGTTTATCCCCTGACATTAGCCTTAAGTAGGGGCGAGCAGTCAAAGGCTTAACGTACTTTTCAAGCGACGAGATGTAAATAAATATTCTGATACGAAAAACACTTTACTAAGAAATCTCTTCCCTACTTGTATATATATATACCTATATATAATATTAGTTCTTGATAGAGCTGGCCCAAGAACCGTTCATTATTTATCCTTTACCCCTTGAACTATAATATATTGAAGTCTCCTTAATATTATTTATTGTGAGTATAGCTTCTGACCAATCGTTTTTTCAATTTCTATATCCATTGAACAAACTAAAACTTGTTTTACAGCATCAAAAATTAATATTACCTGCTGTCAATATGGGTGATCTCATGTAGAACTACAAACCGAGTGAAGATCTCAAAAAAAAAAAACGGTTTTGAATAACTGGTGAGATTGAGATGAACAGGATAATGGTTCTAACAGATTGAAACTCTGACAAATACCTGATTGAGGTTTACAGTTTCGCTGTACCTACCCTTCTTTACGAATACAACTCTTCTCTTAAACTACATACATATGTATATACCTTTCTTAATATAAAACTGGCTGAGCGTTAGTAGAACTTAAGGACCAGCATAGGTTTTTAGGATAGTAAAATACTTTCGAAAAGGTGGTTTGCTCTGCCAGGAGGTTATAATGTCTCTCTTAGTTAATCACCTCCTCGTATAGATGACCACTGGACAACGGAAGAACACTACTACTTCAAAACGCATCGAGAACTTAGTGGTCAAGAAGCTGTCTATGTAACACTTAGTCGTAGGTTTTACTTTCAGAGTAGCCATTATCATATACTCTATAGTGACTTGATTTACTTACACTTAAGGAATGATCCATTATGCTATGGGCGTTGTACCTAAGTTTAGCGTATATTTATCGCTTTATTTAATAACTATGTAGATTTACATATGTATACGTATGAAGCTAAAAAATGGTCTCTTAAATGCAAAAATCTCCTTTTTGTTTCCAACTTTCCATACAAACTCTTTCGCTACACCACATATGCCCCTCCTTATCTTTTTCTATGGCTGGTTTTTCTCCATAAGTTCGGCCACCAGCTCCAGGAGTATGGGAAGACTTTTATGCTCAAACGGACCGACGGCACGTTCGAGTTGCTGACGCGACGGTCGCACATTCTCCGTGCCACTTTCCTGTGAAAACATTTCGGCCGTGTAATGAAAGCCATGCCAATGAAAATACTCCATGATCAGCTGTTGCATCATCTTTAAACGTGGATCCTGTCGTTGTTCTGTATCGTCTATCTCGCTAGCCGTTGATATACTACTGCTATCGCTCAGCTTACTTAGGTCCGGTAGTTTACGTCCGAGTAGTGTAGTTTGGCCATCATTCTTACCTTTCATCATGGCCACCATTTTTGTTTGCAACATGCAACGCACCTCCTGCAATACGCCATCCTGTTCGAATTTCGTCTTTATTGTGGCATACAACTGATTAATAGCCTCTTCCTTTGAGATATAATTTTTTGACATTTTGTCTGTCTACTGATATGCTAGTGTTGCTGCTGGTAGCCACTTTTCCGTTTAGTCTCCACTTCTTCAAACTGATTGCTGATTTTTATACCGCGGAGGTCCGAGTTGAGCTTGCGTTTTTTGTTGGATTATAGCGTCTTCGACGATTATATTATTAAGTAGTAGAGGTGGGGAAATTAAAAAAGCGTGCAAAACGAAATAAAATATAAACACTTTTGACAAGCGGCGACAAATTTCGAAGTCACACAAGAAACATTGAATTTCCATTTACGAACAATTTTCCGAATCAGCTTTTTTTATTACAAATTTTGTTTTGGTTATTTATTTCGGTTGTTCGGTAAGTATTACTTATTGAAAGCTTAAGTTTACAAGTTTTTACTAAGACAATATTTAGTTGAATGGAGTGAGGAAATTCTATATCTCAGCTAAAAATAGGGTGTGTTGAGTATTCTCGATGATCTATAAAGACTGACGAGCGCAAGTTTGATTCTAGACACTAGACTCTCTTTTTCTCCCTATCTATTCCGTTCCCTCTTTCTCCTTTTATCACAACACTTCCGACCTGTGAGCTTCCTCAAGCATAAAACTATGATATAGGAAGACTAACGAATGGCGCTCCAAAAATGAACTGAAAGCGAAAAAGGAAAACTCATTGAAATCACTGAAGACCGTCCGAGCCGAGGCTTATAACAAGTTTATGGAAAATTAATCGGATTAAGCGAGGCCTATGTTGTTTCAGCGCTTATTTGGAATGCGATGTCGGTCCGTGTCAAATTTGATCAGATGGTAAACCATTCATAAATCATAGAAATTTCCATTGAACTCACAAAAAAAAAAAAGTGATTTGATGTCTAATAGAAATCATACGGCAACGCCGTGTCAAAAATTTTTTTTTTACAATGTCGATTAAGGAATCAAAACCTCATATCAAATACAAATTAACATTAAACTAATATCAAAGATAATAGAAATTGATTATATTCTTCTCTTACAAAAGAACCACAAAGTAGATTCGTGCGAATCGAAAAATTATTCGACAGCGATGAGAAAATCTGCCAGCAACTTTTGTGTCTGACAGCTGCCAGCTGTCAAAAATTGACCGCCAACTAACATGCAAACAACTGAGAATGACACGAGGCAAGCGAAGTGAGGCGAGCAATAGAGAGCATAAAAGACGATCGTAAGAAAACGAACAAATGTAAAGATAAATGTATATGAATTTCTGCCAAGTTGCTGCTTAAATTGACAACAGGGAGGAATAAATGTGCCAGCTGTTGCCAATTCCCAGCAAATACAACAGCAACAATCACAACGAAAGTAAGTTGCAGCCGAAGACACGCCACACCAAAGCTAGGCAGTTGGCGTGCAACATGTGAATGAGAAAATGTGCTGATAGCGTATTAATGTAGCAACAATGCCACAATATATTGTTGTTACTATTATTGCTATTGCTATTGACAGCGCTCATTGGCGGCGGCGACCTGCAAAGACACCAACATAGCGCATATTGTCAATAGCGTCGCAAAGACGGACTTACATTATTACGTATAATAGCGTGTTGTTGTTGTTGTTGCAAGGCATGCATGTGGTTGGCGGATGCATTAACATGCTTGTGTGCGTGTGTATATGTGTCGAGGTATGAACAGCTTATTTAATAGCGTTGTGGCATGCAAAAAGCTCATAATCAACTATTTAAAAGGCGGCAACAACGCGCCAACTTGCGCTACAAAATAGTTGTGAGCGCCGACAAACAACTGTTGGGATCTATACGAAACACATACTTGTATATGCTTGCAAGCTTACTTTTGTCGGCGTTTGTACGGCCGTTGCAACAATGTGTGTTGGTTGCGCGTAGCGAATCGCTTTGTTGCCGCTTTCATGTTGCTCTCTGCAGTTATGCTTCTCCTTCGTTTTACTACTTATCTTCATTTCATTTAATTTTCTGCCAAATAAAGCAAAAAAAAACGCAACAAAAACAATTGAATTTTATTGTTGGGTGTGTGCGCGCATTCGATTTAGTTTAGTCAAAGTGTTGTTATTTTTGTTGCAGCTATGTATATTGTATTTTGGATTTTCAAACAGTTATCAAATATACATATACATACATATGTATCTATACGCTTCTATGTGTGTTTATTTACATGTATTTGTGCTCATGTATGTTCTCTTTTCGCCCTCCTTATGCGGCCTATAAACGCCTTGTCACATAATTTCGCCTTAATGACCATGTCGCGCCCCAGTTTTAGTTGTTGTCTTTCCCTTGAAATTTTTTGGCAATCAATAGCTTTGATTTTATTCTTCTCTGTTGTTTTTTGGCGACATGAAATTGAATTTCGTTCCAGTTTTCCGTTATTTATTGTCGTTTTGTCGTTAAATAACTATTATATACTTATTAGAAAAGTGTTGGCAGTGCGTTTTTCTGTCTAACAAAATAACTTAGATTGCCTATTAATTATTTTTTTTCGTCTTGTGATTTAAGTAGAGAATTATTTTGTGAATTATTGAAAGCTTAATATATTTTGTGCACATGGGCTGAAAAGTGCTTAGCCTAGCAAAAAACATGAACATTTTTTTAATAAAAATCTGACTTAAGTTTATGTATTTGTTCTAACGGTCCTTCAATATTTCGATAACGATTCGATGGTATAAACTTTCGGATTTAGGACTATGTTTAATTTTCCTATTTTAAAAAAATATAAATATACTTTATAATTGTACAAAAATGTGGTCAAAAAGTTGAAGGTATGTTATAGTCGACTTATCGTCTTGAACTGCTATAACAAATAATGAAATCGAAATTTTGATAAAATTTATTGTTTTCCTTAAATTTCTGTATAATTTGTTATGGGTTCAATCAGTAGTATACACAATTATTTCCACGATTTCGCTCTGTCTAAATGCCTTGTACTTTAATCAATTATGATAAGTATTGAAAACAAAATATCTCTTAATTAAATAGCATATATGATATACAGGTTGGTTGAAAAGTTTCTGCGCTCGAAATGAAAAAAAAAACTGTTTTTGGTACGGAATATATTTTTTTATTCAATATAATCTTATACTTATTCCAAAGATCCTTCAATAATTTCATGTCATCCTTATAATGGCTTTCCGGAAGCTCTGCAAAATACCCGTCTACGGCTGTAATAGCTTCTTCATTCGTCGAAAAACGCTTTCCACGAAGGAATTGTTTCAGTTTTCTGAAGAGGTAGTAGTCGCTGGAAGCCAAATCTGGTGAATATGGTGTGTGCACAAGCAATTCGTATTTAAATATGTTGAATTTTGCCATTGTTAAAACACCTCTGCGAGCATGTACATTGTTTTGATGAATAATGATTTTTTTGGTGCTGCAAAGCAGGTCTTTTCTCACGAGTTTTTTCATTTAACTGATCCAAAAGGCTGCAATAATATTCAGAGTTGATTGTTTTACTTTTCTGCAGATAATCAATCAACAATATTCCTTTTGCATCCCGAAAAACCGATGCCATAATTTGCTTTGCTGATCTTTGTGATTTCACATACTTGGGAGCTGAACAACCAGCTTCAGTCCACTGTAAACGTTCTTGTTTAAATTAAGGATTTTGGTGGTAGATCCAAGTCTCATCTATGGTTATAAAACGATGCAAGAAATTGCTTTTACTCTGACTAAAATACTCCAAATTATGCTGAGAAATTTGTTTCCTATCAAGTTTTTGTTGAATTGTTAACGTTTGCGGCACTAACATTCCAAACAACTTTTTCATATGGAATTCTCCATGTAAAATGTGAAGTACGCGTTCGTCTAAGATGTCTACGGCAATATCAATTTTACGCTTAGTCAAACTTGGATCTTCACTAACAATATTATGAACTTGCTCAATGATTTCTGGTGTGGTCACGGTTATTGTATTAAATTCACCAACCCAAAATTCAGCGTTGCGTTTTGAAGTTGAAGACTACTTATACACTTCTTAAAATTGTTTATAAATTTCCTTTGCTTTTAAACCTTTCAAAACAAAGAATCTAATCACTGCGCGATATTAAATTTTTTCCATATTAAAAAGTACTTTCACACTTCAAATGGCTTGTAAACAATGAAATATTGACAGAATGACTTGTAACTTTGCATGTGTTCTCAGGAAAGATGTACCAACTTGAAAAATAAATTGAAGCTAGTAGTGCTGTTTCTTGGTGAGACCAACTAACTTTTCAACCAAATTGTTTATGTGCTTATGTATTTTTCACTTAACGAAATTAATTATGCAAAGTCCACATCATTTTCATAAATTTTAATTTGACAAAAATAATAAAGTTTTGAAAACAACTGTCATCAACGCAAGCGCGTTTTCTTTTTTATACACATTATTTACATTTTAATTAAATACTAAAATTATCAAAAATGCAGAAAAGTAGTTAGAGCCACTATGTGCAGCCACATCACTATGCACACACACTTAACCATAATTACGCATACAGTTACATATCTGCAACTTAACTAGCTGCCGTCAAACAAGATTGCACAAATCAGTTGTCTGTCAGCACTGCTTTAATGAAAAGTGTTAAAAGGCTTAAGTATTGTTGTAATATGTGTGTGTGCATGTGTTGGTGTTAAGAAATTGAAATTAATGTATGTACTCGTATGTAAATACGGTGGCCAACCCAAAAAAGTGTTGTTTTCATGCCAGCTGCCAAACGGCGATTGTAATTTGACTTAATGCGATTATTCGTGGTGGAGAAAAGTTAAAAAAAAAAAATCAACAACAACAGCAAACTTTAAAATTAGTGAAAATGTATTTGTGCTTAATTTTACGGCAAGCCGTTGAACGCATTCGTTTCGGCCGATTAGTTAGCGCAACTTACTCACTCTCGAGCTGCTGAGCAAATCGGTGAGGTGTTAAGATGCTCAATGCATGTATTTAAATAATTATAGTTATAATATACAGTGCCGTTGAAACTAATAGCACAAGAGTATACGATTAATATTTCAAAAATTATATCGGACCTGATCAATTTGTTCGGATATTGTAGCACTGTCTTGGATAATAATCTTTACCAAATTTCGTGAAGTTTTCTTGTTAAATAAAAAAGTTTTCCAAATAAGAACTTGATTTTGATCGATGGTTGAAAGAACATGTGCAAGATTTCAGATCGATATTTCCAAAACTGAGAAACTAGTTCGCGTATATACAGACAGACACACGGGCATGGCTGATCAATTGAATATATTTTGCAAAGTCTCCGACATTTCCTTTTGGGTTTTACAAGCATTGTTGCAAACTTAGTAAGCCCTGTTAGGGGTGTAGCAGTTTATAAAATTATCAATTTATGCTTAATAACTTCTAATCTAACTATCTTGA